AATCGCTGCGCCGAATCCTAAAAACGGAGCGGATACTTTCCCAACCGATGTTTTTTTCTTTTTACCATCTGTTCCAAATCCAAATTCACAACCCTGACGTCAATTTTATAAGCTGAACCCCAATTTTGTAAATTTAATTTTTAGGTTCCTTCTACTGCTACATATATATATACACCGATCAGCCATAATATTATAACCACACGCCTGATATTAGGTTCCCCCTTTTCCTGACCCGTCCAGGCATGGGCTACACTAGACCTCTGAAGGTAGGCTGTGCTATCTGGATGACCCCCCTAATACTGTTGGCGCCATAGAAATCCTGTATAATAATAATAATATCTGCATCCAACACATCAACTTCAGGGACAAAATGTTTACTTCCTGCCTAATATATCCCCCACATCCAGGTGTCATTGTAATATATCCAAAATATAAAAATTCACTTTGCTGACAATTGAGCTCTGCCAACAGATGGACTTCGGTGTGAGAAATCTTCGGAGGAGCGAAGGATACAAATGTTTCCAGGCTTCCTGCAGTCCACGGGTTAATCGCAGAGTATCCCCAGAGATCCGATCTGTTATTTGGCTTCTCCTAAGGCCCTGGAATACTTCACTGCGAACGTCTGAAATCTGTACACAGCAGAGACGTAAATAGTTTGATGGGAATCGGTTCAGGATGAAGCTCAACCTTCGCAGGCCGGAGCCATGTTTATGTTTTGGGCTGCACATGTAGCGGGTGTCTGTGGGATTCCACGCCGCGATATTGTTACATGGACGTCTCTCTCCATTGTCTCATCTGCTATCTTGTTCCCATTGTTTTATTGGCAGACCCGAGAGCTTCTGATACGAGGCCAAGGATGTATCGCAGATGACATGAACAATGTCTCGGGGTTGTCAGCAACATCTTCACTCCGGGTTACATTTAGCTTTATAACATTTATTTTTATATAAAATGTTTCCCTCCGGGTTTCAATAAGAAGACCTATAAATATACATTATATTGCCAAAAGTATTGGTACGTCGCTCCAAATCATGTGATTCAGGTGTTCCAATCCCCTCCATGGCCCCCGATGTATAGGATGAGGCACCTCGGCATGCAGACGCTTCTACAGACATTGGTGAAAGAACGGGTCGCTCTCAGGAGCTCAGTGACTACAAGCGTGGTGCCGTGATAGGTTGTCACCTGTGCAATAAGTCCATCCGTGACATTTCCTGGCTACTAAATATTCCGCGGTCCCCTGTTACTGGGATCATAACAAAGTGGAAGCAACTGGGAACAACAGCAACTCAGCCACGGTGTGGTAGGCCACGTCACATGACAGAGCGGGGTCAGCGCATGGTGAAGCGCACAGTGCGCAGAAGTCGCCAACTGTCTGCAGAGTCAATAGCTACAGACCTCCAAACTTCATGTGGCCTTCAGATTGGCACAACAACAGTGCGTAGAGAGCTTCATGGAATGGGTTTCCATGGCCGAGCAGCTGCATCCAAGCCGCACATCACCAAGTGCAATGCAAAGCGTGGGATGC